CGCATCTACGTCGGTCAGAGCGCATCTATGTCGGTCACTCAGCCACACCATGCCCCTGCGCGCGTGGGCGACAGGAAAATAATACCAACCCGTTTTCTCCGCTTTGTGGGAACGGCAGAGCGTCGGTATTGTCTTCTTTTACAGCATGCACGGATGGAAGAAGAAGAAGAAAATGGAGAGGAAGGGGAGGAGGGGGAGGAGGGAGAGACACCTGATCAATCACAAATTTGCGCATGGCTGCTGGCTAGCAGACGCATTGCGTCATTGCTTCTTTACACGAAAACTGTGGAACGACAGCTTTGCACAAGCACTTCGCCCACTCATTTCGGGGCCGCCCCCTTGCCCGGGCGCATGCGCATGTGGCTGGCGCCGCGCTTCCTGGTTGGAGGGCCAATCGCCTCCAGAAATAGAATACGGTTACCCTATATCTTCTCCTCCAACCACAGCAGCTGATGTTTCATAAACTGCGTCGTGTAAGGCCATTGGCCTGCTCGCGACAGCACCTGCTTATTGGAAGTTATTGAGACGCACGCGCGCGCAATGTGCAAGATGCGGCGCAAGCACCTCGCTTGGAAGCCATCTAGTCTTCTGCGATCGGCTCTGCAGAACCACACTGAATGTAGTGAGCACATGACCTTACGGGCCACCAGGCCTTGAAGCACTTCAAGATCTCTGGCATTGCTCATAGCTGCGTACTTGCCGCGCACTTCCAGGCGCGGCTGCGTCTGCACAACTCACCCCACGCAGGTTCGAATCGTTTCCCTGGCCCCCCGCAGAGCTAGATAAAAATGAAAATGTGGCTCCGAGACAGACCATCGGTGGCAGAGATTGGCTCGCCGGACGGCGTCAAGAGAGCAATGTCGCTTCGAACCAGCAGCGCTTGAACTCGCCACCCGCTGATCACATGCCCATTTTTCGACCAAATGTGGAAATTCCCACAGGCAGTTTCGGCGAAAGTCGGCGGCGGCCCGGACGACAGCGACGACCGCGTCTGTCTCGCACACCTCGCCCCCGGGACCCCAGGACGACGCCGGGCCCAGCGCCGGCCGGCCGTCGGCCGAATGGCGCGAAGCAAACCGAGCCCTGAGCCACGACCGCCAGGCCCACGGCGCGCGGGCAGGACAGAAGTCGCCGAAGACCCCGACGCCGCGACAACAGCGGCGCGCGCGGGCCACGCCCAGAGCCCGAGCGCCCGTCTTCGACGCGGGCAGCAGCCACGCGGCAGCCAGTCGGCCGCCCTCCCCAGCGTGGAACTTGACCATCTGCACGGGCTCCGTGGACAGCTCGATCTCGAGCGCGAGCCACTGCACGCCTGCCCGCAGCGCCAGACGGGGGTCTGCGGGGCCCCCCGCGGACAGCGACGAAGCGCCCGCCCGGGGCCGAGCTAGCCAGCGCAATGCCCTCGACTTTGCGCCCCGGCCCAAGCACGCACTCGCACGAGCGTCGCGCCTCGGCTAAGGCGCGGCCCAAGAAAGGATGGAACTCGAGATCGGCCTGCACGCGCATTCTTCTGCACCGGCGACAGGCACGGGGCGGCGGACCTGCATCCGCCAGTCTCCAGCGAGGAGCTCAGCAGCCCGATCTTCTGCCGGGCCAAATGTTTTAAAACCCATCTCGACACCCCACTGCTCGAGGACGGCTCTGGGCACCTGGCGACGAGCCCCATCCGAGTTCGCGGCCGTCGTCGCCAGCACCCCCACGTCGAACTGCTTGAGGGCGCGGGCCCAGGCCCATGCCGCGGCGAGGTCAGCAAGGCACCCCCTCCGGCACCGGCGCCTCCCAGGCGCCCCGCCCGGAAACCCAAGGATCGACGGCCGCGCGGCCTCCCCCAGCTGCGCCGCCGCACCCTGGGGGCCACCGCCTCCCGGCGCCAAGCATGGCCGCGCTGGGCCGGGGCCCGGCGCGCCGCCATCTGCCGCGCCGAGGGGCGCATTGCCCCAGTACTCGGCAGACGCCGACCGCGTCCTCTTAGGCTGGCTGCGAGATCCCACCGCGGCCGGAAAGCGCCCATGGCGCGCGGGGCGCGCCGCGGGCAACGGCGCGGAGCCGGCCCACTTCGCACCGCGTCGCTACCGGACGGGGGGCGGGGGAGGACGGCACTGACTCCGACCGTCTCCTGCCCCGTCGTAACAAGATATTGCACCGGAGAGAAGCCACAATCAGCGGATGGTCCGAAAGTTCTACAAGCACCATGCCCGGCCGCAGTTTCACAAGGGCCTCAAGAGGCCAACTCATTGATTGCCCTCGCGCGTTGGAAGGGTTGCAGCGTCCTCGCCAATTCGAGCATCCGTCGGCTCAAAATAGCCTGGGAGGTCTCCAATATTGCCACAAGACGGCCCACGAGGGGCCCAAGATGACCCAGGCAGGCCTCCGGAGGTACCATCGACGGCTTGAAGGGGCCCGTTTCGTAACCTGCCATCTTGAGCCAAAACGGCCACGTCTGGCGAAGACTAGCGAGACGCCATCCTGAGCCCTCCCCCACCCAGATCAGAGTAAAGAAACTGCAACACACGCCCTCACGGCCACTAGCCACAATGACAACGAAGTTCCAGACAGCCGGCACCCCTGAGCAACCCCTGCGAAGACCTGCAATAGATGCAGAAGATCGTTTCTGAACCAAGCGCTGACCTGCAGATCGCGGCACAGAGCCCAGATCGCACAGATCTAGCCAGCAAGCAGAGAATGAAGCAAGACTGCTGCGATCCCCTGCCAGTTCATGGACGGGAAAGCGGCCTGCACGTCAAACGAGAAGAAGCAGGGCATGCGTTTGGAAGCATCGTCGAGCCCCCCCGCCCTTCTGCCAGCGGCGTCCAATTCCACAATTGTCGAAGTTAAACTGGCGATCGCGGGGGGAACCCTCTCTACAAAGGGCGGCAGCGTCGTTCAGCAACACGTCGAAGGTAAAGAACGAATCGATGACGCCACGGCCTTCGAGTCGCTGCACTTCAAAGTGGACGGCCGCAGAGCATCAGGAGAGCGCGCCGCATCCACCAAGTCCTCGGGTCTTTCGTCTTCTGGCATGAAGCACATCAAGGAGTGGTTGAAGCCTGGCGGCGACCCTGGCCGCTGAAGATGTCCAGCAAAAACGAGCACTGAGCTTCAACCGCATCCTCCTCCGCCAACCACGCGCGACAGGAAGCGATCAGAACCAGGCGCGCTTGCCTTACCAAGGCGGAGAACACGCCGCAGGCCGGCCTTTGACGGAAGAGGTAGCAAGGACGTTCATAACGAGGGAGGTGCGTAGCGAGGTATAGGGGTAGCGCATCAGCCGGAACAGGTTTCGCTTGAAAGACGCGAGCCCACTGGCGAGACAGAGCAGCAGCCATGCAAGCAAGATCCCGAGCCACGCGATTAGCAGCAGGTGACGGCGGGCGCACTCGGTCGTCACGTTCGGGCAAAGGCTAAGGATCCGTCGCAACGGCGGCGTGGGCCGAGACAGCGTTCTCTGCCAGATCACAACGGACGCCCTCCGTCGTAGCGGCGGCGTGGGCCAAGACAGTTTCCTCTGCCAGGGCGCCGGGCGCGCCTCAGGCGACAGCGTGGAGAGCCGCCGGTGGGCGCCGAAACGCCACGGCGCCAGCGCCACCGCCCAGCGCCAGCTGGAAGCATGACGCCGTGACGCCCGCGCAGAGATCAGCTGCAGGCGGTGGCGGGCGTGTTCCGACGCCAACTGCGTCTCCACTATCGTCGTGCACCAGTGCGGGAAGCACCTCCCTAAGGAGGCTTTGCACTGTTGTGGCTTGACACCAATGGGGAGATCCACTACGTGGCTGGAACTGTTGTGCCGAATGCCGTTCAATATCAGGTGTTCCCGCATGGGTGCCCATCATCGCGCGCGGCGTTGAGATGTGACCTGCACCTTCCGCTACTGTTCCCAAGTGAGATTGATCTCCTCACGAGAAAACGGATTGACGGCACGGGCCCGTGGCACGGGCGCGTGCGGCAGCATGGCGCTGCTGTCTCTGATTTCATCGTGGCTTGATAATGCAGACCAGATCTCGGAATACAGCACCATTGACAAGGTTAACAGACTGATCAGCAGAATTGAGACATCGAGGTCCAAGCGACGTGGTGTTGAGGGTGGTGGCCAGTGTCAGGTCCTGCTGCCAGGTCGCTCTGGCAATGCTCCGCAAAGTTCGCCGGCGGCTGCCCCCGGCCCCTGCACTGGAAGTGGTAGGGAGACGTGTAAGGCGGCCCCGCACCTCAGCAGCAGCACGCACCATCAGATCTTCCGTGGGCGCCCATCGGTCGCGAGAGTCCATCACGTCCCAGCTCACGCAGCCCATCGCCCCTGCCGGGCGCGCGGACGCGCGCATGGGCGCCCGGGAGGCGCCGCGCCGGACGCGTCGTGCACGAAGTGGACTGGAAGAGCACGACCACGCCACCTCCTGCAGGGTGGGTACGAGGGTACGAGGCGAGGCGCGCGCGTCCGACGGACGAACACGCGGCGGCTGAGGCGGGGGCCAGCGGGCCCCGTTCAAAAGAAAAGCACCAGGCGGGGGAGGGTCGAGATACTGCAAAGTGGTGGCGAGGTACTTCAGGGCAGGGGCGAAATACTTCAGGGCAGTGGCGAGAGCGGAAGGCGAAGTCCGGGACGCCTCGTTCATGCCGAGCGCGGGGCCGCCGAGGCCGCAGCGTCGGAGGCAGGAGAGCATGATCATTCAAGCTCCAGTCGGAGAGCCGTGGTGCTTGCTGGTGCACTGCAGGAGCAGTTTCAGCTGCCATGTGAAAAGCAGGAGGGAGCGAGAGGAACGCCCTGTCGAGCGTGAGGAGGGGGAGGAAGAGGAGGAGGAGGAGGAGGAGCAGGAGGAGGAGCAGGAGGAGGAGGAGGAGGAGGAGGAGCAGGAGAAGGAGGAGGAGGAGGAGCAGGAGAAGGAAGGAAGGAAGGAGGGAAGGATGGAAGGAGAAGGAGCAGGGAGGAGGAGGGAGGAGGAGGAAAGAGGAGGAAAGAAAAGGAAGGAGGAGGACGAGGAGGGAGGAGGAGAGAGAGGCGAAAGCGCCTCCGGCATCTGCCCCAGCACTGTATCGGCCGCGCCGCGCGCGACGGTGCAGCCGCCGCGGGGGCCCAGCACCGAGTCGGCCACGCCGCGGGCGAGGGCCGCGGCGTCGGGCAGCCCGTCGCCCGCCATTGGGCGGAGCGGAGAGGCGGGGGCCGGGGGGCGAGGGAGGGCGGGTCGAGGGGAGGGAGGGCGAGGGAGGGACGAGGGAGGGGGGGAGGGGGGGGGAGAAGAGGGAGGGGAGGAGGGGGAAGAGAGATTGCGTTTTGGAACTCTTGCCTGGTGGCGGTCGTTACCCCGGGGGTGGGGGGGGGGGGGGGCAATGACGGTAACGCTTGGGCGGGGTGGGGCACGTCGGGCGGGGATGCGCTGTGATTGCCAAAGTATGCGCGGGAGTGGGGACGAGGGAGGGACGAGGGAGTGGGGGAGGAGGGCCAGAGGGAGTGGGGGAGGGAAGGAGAGGGGAGGGAGGGAGGGAGGGGGGAGGGGGGGCGCCAGGCCAGGAGTGCCACTGGGACCAGGCCGTACGAGGGACCTGGCCCTGGCAGCAGCTGGCATGGATCCCAGGACAATCACCCAACTGCCCAGGTGTCTCCCTGTGCGACGGGGGCGGGGACCCACTCGGGTGCGCCCAGGCAGGGGAAGGCAAGGGAGGGAGAGGGGGGGGGGGGGGAAGACCAGGGAGGGAGTGAGGAGGACGAAGGGGGGGGGGAGGATGAGGGAGGGGGGAAGGCCAGGAGGAGGGAGGGGGGAGGGAGAACGACGGAGTGGGGAGAGGAGGATGAGGGTGATCTCTCGAGGGTTCCTTGGAGTCCCAGTGGCCACTCTTTGAGGAGAGGGAAGGGGGGAAAAGGAGGAGGAGGAGGAGAGGAGGAGGAGGAGGAGGAGGAGGAGAGGAGGAGACGGTGGAGGAGGGGGAGGAGGAGGAGAGAGAAGGGGAGGAAAGGGGAAGAGGGGGGGGGGAGGGGGCGGGAGGAGGGGGGGGGAGGAGGGGAGGAGGGGAGTGAAAAGGGAAAAGGGGAAGGGGAAGGGGGGGGGGAAGGGGGCTGCTTGCGGGGCACGCTGGCCTTGGCAAGCCCGCTCAGCCTGCGGGCCCCGGCCTCCATGAGGCAACAAAGGAAACGTTCGCCCCAGCGTGCCACACCGGTCGCGCTGCACGCACGGCGAGCCTGCGGCCGCGCGATGTGCTGCGACTGCGCAAGGCAAGCAGAAGGCACCGCAGTGGCAGTGCTCCGCGGCCGGGGAGAGCACAGAGAGGACAGCGCCACCCCCGTCCCGCCTAGGGGCGAGGAGGCAAAGGGGCCCTCTACACGCTGAGGCACGCACTTCTGAGCGACGCGGCCGTGCCTGCCCGCCGACGCGCCCCTTTCCTACGCTCATAAAAGGACGGTTGACGCGGACACGGGACACAGCAAGGGGGAACACTGGCAGGGGAATGATCAAGCTTTCACGTCGTTCCTTCGCACAAAGGAAGTCAGTAGCAACCAACATCCTTGACAATGAGGGCCACAAGGGTCGACGAACGAGCACAACGACCAAAAACAGTAGCCGTCAAACCTGGATGCGCAGAACGCTCTGCGTTTGAAGACGGCAACGGCCGCGCAAGCAGGCTATTGCAATCGGTGTTCCTTCTTGATGGAGAGAGCGGTTGTGGAGGGGGAGCGAGGAGAGGTAGGAAGGAAGACTGAGGGGGGAGGAAAGGAGGAGAGTGGAGGAGAGGAGGAGGAGGAGGAGGAGGAGGAGGAGGAGGAGGAGAAGGAAGAGGAGGAGGAGGAGGAGGAGGAGGAGGAGGAGGAGGAGGAGGAGGGGGAGCAGGAGGAGCAGGAGGAGGAGGAGGAGCAGGAGGAGGAGGAGGAGGACGACGAGGAGGGGCAGGAGGAGCGGAGGAGGAGGAGCAGGAGGAGGAGGAGGGGCAGGAGGAGCCGGGGGAAGCCGAGGAGGAGAGGGGGACGAGGACGCCACCTCCCTTGAAAAAGGAGGAGGGCCCGGGCAGGCGAACGCTGCTCCTGGACCCTGGCTCCTGGGGGGGGGGCTCCCCTTGAAGCCCGAGACGAATGCGGAGAGTCGAAGTCGCGCGCGACGTGACGCACGAAGCGTAGATTCCTTGTCCAGCGTGAGTTCCTCTTCTTCCCCTCCTCTATCCGCCTCCTCCCCTGCCCCCTCCTCCTCCCCCTCCTCCTGCTCTTTCCTCATCCTCTCCGTCCTTATCCTCATCCTCATCGCCGTTATCGTGATCATCGTCAGCGCCCTCATCAGCATCATCATCGCCATCATCATCCCCCCCGGTGGGCAAGGCTTCTAAGTACCCCGAAGACACAGAGCACCACCCTCACCCACCACAATCCTCTTCATCACCCTCATCATCACCAATGCCACCACCACAACCACCATCACCATCGTCGACCGCGAGAACGTCGACGAAGCCGTGGTGCCTTCATCAAGGCGGAGCACGGTGGGCCACAGCAAGTTCTGGATCAGCTCGGAACGGCCACCGACATCCTGATCCACGAGATCGCGCGCCCCGGTCTCGCGATCAGTTTCGGCCCAGGGACGTCCGCCGCCATAGTCAAGCTCTTCGGCAACGGTCCCTGGGAAGCTCCACTAACGCGCACTCCTGAAGAACTAGCGAGAGCAGCTCACTCCCCAGACGGCCACATCCTGTAGATCGCACACCACTTCACCCACCTGGGCACGATCCGCCAGGACGCGGGCAGCCACCAGGCCGACGGCCGCCGCAAGGTGGCGAAGGCACAGCGAAGGCGCAGCAGGCCTTCGCGCCGCTGGAAGCCGCCATCCTCCGGCCCAAGGCATGCGCGCCAACTCCCTCGCGCTCTCGCGCAGCCTGTTGGCGCTGGCGCGGCAGGGTCAGCTGGACAAGGGCTGTCTCCCGCTGGATGCCCAGTACCATCGAGCGCTGCGCCGCATTTGCGGCTCGATGCCCTTCGGGGCCCCCGGCACGCTCGCCTCTCCTGGCGCGGGCGCAACGCCTGGCAGGCCCAGGCTCGCAGCTGCGAGCCCCGCCGCTTGTGCAGTGCTGCATCGCAGCCGTGCCCAAGCTTGCGCCTGACCAGCAGCTTTCGATGGACCACCAGGCATCTGGCAGCCGTCTTTCCGGTAGAAATCCAGACTCTCGGGGCACACCGCTCCACTTTCCGGGCGCGTGGCGCGAGTTCGGCACGAAGTGCCCAGCTTGCTCTTAGGATGTCGCACACGACCTCGCGCGCTCCACCACCTCCAATTCATCAGCAAGCAGTGTAGGGCTTGTATGATCCAGGGAGATATTCCTGTCCTTTTGTCCATGTCTAGCACGAACAGCCCTTCCCTCACGATTAGAGGGCACCCTCCAGGAGTGAAACGATGTAAGAAAGCGCTGGAGGAGCACGAGCCTCCACAACACCTGTGGCCACCACGGAGGAGCACGAGCCTCCGCACCACTGAGGCCACCCCGGAGCAGCTGGAGCAGCCCGACGCCCAGCCCGACGCCCTACCCGACGCCCTACCCGACGCCCTACCCGACACCCTACCCGACGTGGAACCCGACGCCGAACCCGACGCCCAACCCGACGCCCAACCCGACGCCCAACCCGACGCCCAACCCGGCGCCCAACCCGACGCCGACGGGGCCGATGCGAACGCCCGACCGCCGCCGCACGGCGCGGGGCGAAGCGCGCGCGCGCGTGGAGGCCCTCTGCCCGCCGCGCAGGGGCGGCAGAGGCGCAGCCCCTGCCAGCGACCGGTACGGAGCCAGCCAGCTCGAGCGTCCGGCACGGAGGCAGCGGGTCTGGAGGACAGCGGGGTCCCGGGGCCAGCTCTGCATTTCGGCGGCGAGCGAGGGGGGGGAGTGAGGAGGAGAAGGAGGAGGAGGAGGAGGAGGAGGAGGAGGAGGAGGAGGAGGAGGAGGAGGAAGGTGACGATCGGGGGAGGAGGAGGAGGAGGAGGAGGAGGAGAGGAGAGGAGGAGGAGGAGGAGGAGGAGGACGAGGAGGAGGAGGAGGAGGAGGAGGAGGAGACGGTGGAGGAGGGGGAGGAGGAGGAGAGAGAGAAGGGGAGGAAAGGGGAAGAGGGGGGGGGGAGGGGGCGGGAAGAGGGGGGAGGAGGGGAGGAGGGGAGCCGCCAAGACCCCGGCGCCAGGGTGGTGGCCTACCTCGACGACGTGTACGTCGTTGGCAGCCCGCGCGCACTGGCCGCCGCGCTCCTCGCGGCGCCAGCGCTCCTGGCGGCGCGCGGCCTCCGCCTGAGCGCGCAGAAGACCAAGGTGTGGAACCCTCGAGACTTGCCTCTCCCAGGGCCGCTGGCGAGGGCAGCAGTGCCCGACCTCACGTGCGTGGGAAGCACGCTGCCCTACGTGCGCAACGCGGCGGGGGCAGGCCCGGGCGCCGACCCCGCGAGGGCGAGCTTCTCGCCGACGGCCGCCCCGCAGGCGGCCCGAGACCACCTCGACGCCTACCTCGCGGCCCTCCGCCGGCTCCGAGGGCACGGGCTGCGCGCCCAGGACGAGCTTGTCCTGCTCCGCACCTTCGCCAACGGCGCGGCCTTGCACCACGCGCGAGCGCACCTGCTGGACGAGGCATGGTGCCAGGCGTACGACGCGGCGGTTCTCGGCCACGTGCACGAGATCCTGCGGCCGCTCACTGGGCACCATGACTCTGCCAGACGACGCGCGCGACCTGGCCCTCCTGCCCTGCGCTGGCGGCGGGCTCGGGCTGCAGGGCCTCGCGCACCGCCGCTTGCCCGCTTTCGTGGGGGCTTGGCAGGCGTGCCTGGCGGGCGTCTGCAGTGAGCTCGGACTCTCCAGCCTCGAGGCTTTCCAGCTCGCCTGCCCGGCGGCGTGGGGGGCGGCCGAGGGGGCGGGCCGCGCTCTCCAGGTGCGCGGCGCGACCTGGCTGCGCGCCGCCGCGGAGCCACAGGCGAAAGCACAGCGCGCCCTCGCGGCGCCGGAGCAGCACGCGCGCCGGCAGCGGCTCCTGGGCTCCTTGCCACCAGACCGGGCAGCGCAGCTACGCTCGGCCAGCGGGAAGGGAGCGGGGAGCTGGCTCCAGCCGCCAGCTGCGGAGGACCACGTGCTGGCGGACGCGCACTTCCTCCCAGCCCTCGCGCTGCGCCTCCAGCTGCCGCTGCCAGCGACCGCCAGCGCCACCTGCTGCCGGTGCA